CATTAAATTAAATTACCATTTAAGAATCTTAGTTCAGAGATTTGACTAAAACTAGCTCCTTCATGCTAAGATATAATAATTTATCATACAAATTTAAAATGGCATTTGAACCTTTATTGTTTTCAAAAAAGTAAAGGGACACAATCTGTTCCCTATTCATGGAGAGTGGTGTGTAAAATTTGTAATGACCTGAGACCTTAAAAAAATACATACAATTCTGAATGGACAGAATTTTAAAGGTTCACTTTTAATATTTCCAAAGCAAGGCAGTATGGCACTTCATGTCGCTTGTCCTGTAATATAATTTATCATTGCAACTTTCTGCTAAAATGACTATTACTGTTACGTCTATATTTATTATGTTAAGTAAACATTTTTCTCTCTCTCTTTTTTTTTTGTAAGGTCGCATTGCACTAACCTACAGTGAGAAGTGTCTTGATATCCTGACTGGCCTGCTGGCATTGAAACAAGATCACATCACGTCAGGTATGAGAGAAATCTAAGCCACACTTGTGCATGCTTGTGATTTTTTTATATCTTCAAGTTAATGAGTAAAGGTTTGTTTGTTTTTTTTCTAAATGAGGTACTGTTTGATTTTCACACACCTTTTAGCAGGTGCTTTCTCCAGCCTGGATAAATGCTTTGTTTGCTAAAGGCCATTATCAGTTCACAGAATCAACTCTTCCGTGTGTGTGTGTGTGTGTGTGTGTGTGTTTAGCGGTGATCCAGACGTTCAGGGATTTGGTGTGGTTCTGTCCTCAGAGTACAGCTGCTGTGTGTCAGACCGTGGAGGCCTGTGTTGACAGTCCTCAAGATAGTGAGGTGAGATGATTCACCCGCATTTTAATTTTGACCATCTACAACAAGCAAGCTATGTTTGGCACTTTTTGATGCTTTTTCTTCACAATCCCATTAAACTCATCCTTTACAATATGGAAAAAAAATGTTAGTTTTGTAAAGAAATGCATGCATTGGCAATTTATAATTATCTACAAAAATTATTTCAAGCATTTTAACATACGTCTTGCAATTGAAAAGGTAATGAGAAACATAAAGTCAGTTGGGTCTAAACTTATCAAACTGGTTGATTCCAGGTCACCATAAGATACAGGGGACACTAAAAACTTATTCTGGGGGAAAAGGGCCTGTTGTTTCATATACTTCATATACAGTAATATACACTACCATTCAAAAGTTTTAGATCAGTAAGTTTTTTAAGTCTCTTCTGCTCACCATGGATGCATTTATTTGATCCAAAATACAGCAAAAATAGTAATATTGTGAAACTATTTTACAAATCAGAGTCGCATGATCCTTCAGAAATCATTCTAATATGCTGATTTGGTGCTCAAGAAACATTTCTGATTATTATCAATGTTGATTTTTTTTTTCAGGATTCCTTCTTTGATGAAAGTTCAAAGGAAATGCATTTATCTGAAATAGAATTTCATCAAAAATAAATCCTGCTCATCAAAAAATCCTGAAATGAATGTATCACAGTTTCCACAAAACTATTCAGAGTTAGGCACATCAACCATAACTCCTTCAAAAACAGCCAGAAATCTTGGAGTTATGATTGATGATCAGCTGACTTTCTCAGACCACATTGCTAAAACTGCCTGGTCCTGCAGATTTGCTTTGTTGAAATCAAGAAGATCAGGCCCTTTGTTTCAGAACAAGCTTCACAGCTCCTTGTTCAAACTCTTGTTCTGTCCAGGCTGGACTATTGCAATGCTCTCTTGGCAGGTCTTCCAGCCAGTTCTATCAAACCTCTACAATTAATCCAAAATGCCGCAGCAATATTAATTTTTAACAAGCCGAAAAGAATGCACGTCACACCTCTGTTTATCGATTTGCACTGTCTACCAATAGCTGCTCGCATAAAATTCAAGGAAATGAAAGACTGTCTTTTTTATCTTATTTTTAATTTAATTTTAGTTAATTGTTATTTAAATGTAATTAAACTATAATATTATCAATTTAATTTATAAATGTATAAATTCAGTAGTAATATAATATCGTAAAACTGTCTCGTCCTACTTTTTTTTTCTTTTCTTTTTTAATCTCTATATTTTTTTAATTAAGTTTCAGTTCTTAGTTTATTTAGTTTTAGTTATTTTAGTACTTCAATTTTAAACGAAAATGAAAAAATTTAACCTTGTTTTTTTATATTATATTATATTTTATTTTATTTCGGTGAATGTTTGTTTTTTTTATTAAAAAGTAGTTTTTTTTATCAGTTTTAGTTAATAATAATATTTTTTTTATTTTTTACATAATTGTAATTAATTGTGATTTAATTAAATGTACATTAAGTACATTTTAATATTATACATTTAATTTTATAATAAATTAAATACTAATATAACAACATATTACTGTCTCATCCTACCTGTTTTTTTTTTTTAATGTCTGTATAATTTTTATTATATTTTATTTCTAAGTTTACTATAGTAGATATTTTTGTACCTCAGCTTTAAACAAAAATGTAAAAATGTTACCTTGTTCTTTTATTTTTTATTTTATTTTGGTGAATGTTTATTTTACTTTAAATAATTTTATAATAATTATAATTTTTTAATAATTCAATAAAAATCAGTTTTAGTTAATAATAATAATCCTGACAGTAAATATTTTTGATTATGTACATAATTTGAATGAATTGTGATTTAAATATACAATATGTATAATATAAATAAATATTATAGTATTGTACATTTAATTTATAATTTTATAATAAATGCAATACTAATCATGTAACTGTCTCACCTCACCCGTGTTTCTCTGACTAACAGGAAGTAAAGATGTAACCCTCTCCAGCCCAAATGACACAGAAGAGGAGATCAGTCTATCTTTGGGTCCTCCTCTATCCCATGAGACTTTTGAGAAAATGTGGCTGGACTTGGAGATTCTCCACAGGCAAACTCTGGGTTCCCCTCGACCCAGAACGGCTCCGGATACGTTACAGGCTGCCTTACAGCTGGTGAAGATCCAGACTCTGGCCTTCACCCCGAGAGACACTGTGCCGTGGAAGGCCTACATTTACACCAGGAGCACTGGGACCCTGATCCTCGCCGAACTGTTGCAGGGGGACCCGCAGGCCCCTGGCAGTGATGAAAGCCTGGTGGTATCTGTCAAACAGCAGCCAGTGAACCAGCATGCCATCAGAGGATTTGCTTCAATACTCAAGAGTGTGCTGCAGACTCTTAATGTTGATAGTTCATGAAATTCAGAAGTCTGAACTATTGCTACTTTGAGGACAATGTACGGTCTATTACAGTATAAGCTGGAGCTTTTTCAACACAATTAATCGAACGGTCTTTCTAAACATAAAAGCCTTCCAGTAAGGCTTCTTTCTAGCACCCAGTTACATAATTTTATCTCTATCTCAGGTTATAATTTTCTTTTTCAACATCTTGCAGACAAAGCAATGTTTAGTTATTGTAAATATATGGTCTATTATACAAAACAGGTGCCTTTTGTGTCCCGCATTAATATGAATATACTTGTAATATGTTGTATAATAGGCATTTTAGGAGAATATATTAAAAAAAAGTTACTCTCAAAAAATAAAATAAATACACACACACACACACTTCATCTGTCGCAGGCAGGCAACAGGGAAAAACCCCTCTGGTGTGACGGATCCAGCCTTGACAAGACAGCACGTTTATGCCAACACAGGCCAGTTTTTCCACCTTACGTAACGTGGTAGTCTTGCAATTCTACACAAGATTCTCTTCCACTCTTCTTTTGAACTTTCCAACTGATTGTGGTGGCCACAGAGAATCTGCTCAAATGATGTTGAACTCTTTGTCCTGCCTCTGTCATTCCACGCACAAGAACATGGTCGATCACAGTAGCTCTGATTTCATCTGAAATGACTGTTCTTGGTCTGGCTCTTCCTCGTCCTCCTCTTCCTCCACCCATGCCATCTGTGCACTTTGAACTGGCTTGTATTTTGTACATTCACATACTGTATTTAGAAACGAGTGTGAACAGTTCTGAATTATTGTGTGTAAACGATGACAGCCTTGCAGTTGTGCTTAACTTATACTTTCTTGTGTTTAGGGTTTTGCGTCACAAGTTTATCACAGTGTAAATTGCGTTTTAGTGAGTGACAATGTGTTTCGAGTTTTGCAAAAAGAGATCTGCAAACAGTGTCTAAACTGCCTGAACTTGTTTAAGGTTGTGCAGAAAGAGTGATTTATTTGACAAACTGGTTTAGGCTATTGAGAATTTGGTTCAGAGAATGGGGTTTAGTGTCTTAGCAAATGTGAAAAACTGTAAGACACTGTCTTGACAGCCTTGCAGTTGTGCTTAACTTATACTTTCTTGTGTTTAGGGTTTTGCGTCACAAGTTTATCACAGTGTAAATTGCGTTTTAGTGAGTGACAATGTGTTTCGAGTTTTGCAAAAAGAGATCTGCAAACAGTGTCTAAACTGCCTGAACTTGTTTAAGGTTGTGCAGAAAGAGTGATTTATTTGACAAACTGGTTTAGGCTATTGAGAATTTGGTTCAGAGAATGGGGTTTAGTGTCTTAGCAAATGTGAAAAACTGTAAGACACTGTCTTAACATAGAGGCTAAGTTTATGCAACTGGACCCAGGTCTTTTGCTTCATGCTTCCAATAAATGAAGTTCAAGAACTGACTGTTCACTATGTATATGTAGTGTGTGTGTGCGCGAGCATAATGACATGGGTATTACAAGAACAAAAGCTCAGTATAAAAGTCCCTGTAAACCATAAATGCATGTGTGTATGCTAAAGCAGAAGTAAATATGCAGAAGAGAGAAATGTTGGATTTGTGTGTGTGTGTGTGTGTGTGTTAAGTGTAACAGTTAAGTGCCAGCGAAAGACTGCGGTCAAGCCAGCCTCACTTTTTGTTTTACTGCGCGTCTAAGCGCGCACTTACGGTATGGGTGCTGGGAGCGGTTAAAATGTATGTAAAGAAGCTGTCATAAAGGCGTTTCCTTTAGACTTTTGCTGATATTTTCAATAAATTGCTGTTCACGGTGACCCAAAATATGTCTGCATAAAAAGTAATTTAACCCTAAAAAGACCATAAAGCAACTTCAGAATATTTATTTATTGCTATTTTATATCATGACATATATAATACAATTTCAGGATTTTTTTTTAAATGACTTGAACATTGGAAAAATAATGTTTGTGAATACATTATTTTTTGTACATTACCATTTGTATTGTACATTTATTAATATACATAATTTATCAATGTTAATATATATATATTAACAGTGTGTGTGTATACACCTTTAAACTGATACTTGTTTACAGTGACCCTGACTATACTGTATTAACTTCAAGTTAAATCTATTGTACAATTTCTGTACAAATTAAAGGCAAATCACTCCAAAACTCAATGTGCATTCTCACACTTTTTCATAAAAAGCACTTACTCGTAAAAAAGCTTTCCTTAATAGGTTTGCTCATTCTTCCAGTTGATTCAAGTTCACAGTCACCCTGACTATTACTGTATAACTTTTCAAGTCATTTTACTGTATAGTTCTGGAGAAAATTTATGACAAAATTACTCCAAAAAACAAAGTGCATTCTAGCAGTTGCACCATTACCCATTTTCAAACACTCATAAAAATCTTTTCTTTATAGGTTTGCTCATTCTTTCAATTGATTCCTGTTCACAGTGACCCTGACTATGACTGTATTAATTTTCAAATATTTTTATTGTATAGTTTTGGAGAAAATTAAAGGCAAATTCACCCCAAGCATCTAAGTGAATAAGCACTTTTACATCATGTCCTATTTTCAAACCCTCATAAAAATCTTTCCTTTACAGGTTTGGTTGTTATTTGGATTGATTCCTGTTTACAGACACCCTGACTATTACTGTATTAATTTTTACATTTTTTGACTGTATGGTTTTGAAGAAAATTAAAGGCAAATTCACCCCAAGCATCTAAGTCAGTGTTTCTCAACCCTGGTCCTGGGCGCCCCCCAGCACTGCACATTTTCTGTGTCTCCCTAATCAAACACACCTGATTCAACTCATTAGCTCATTAAAAGAAACTCCAGGACCTGAAATGGGTGTCAGATAAGGGAGACATACAAAATGTGCAGTGTTGAGGGGCGCTCAGGACCAGGGTCGAGAAACGCTGATCTAAGTGAATAAGCACTTTTACATCATGTCCCATTTTCAAACCCTCATAAAAATCTTTCCTTTACAGGTTTGGTCGTTATTTTGATTGATTCCTGTTTACAGTCACCCTGACTATTACTGTATTAATTTTTAAATTTTTTGACTGTATGGTTTTGAAAAAAAAAGAATGGCAAAATCACTCCAAAAAACGAAGTCCATTCTAGCAGTTGCACCATTACCCATTTTCAAACACCCATAAAAATAATTGCTTTATAGGTTTGCTCGTTCTTTCAATTGATTACTGTTCACTGTCACCCTGACTATTACTGTGTTAATCTTCAAATATTTTTACTGTATAGTTTTGGAGAAAATTAAAGGCAAATTCACCCCAAGCATCTATGTGCACCTTTGCACTTTTACATCATGTCCCATTTTCAAACACTCATAAAAATCTTTCCTTTATAGGTTTGCTTGTTTTTTCATTGATCTCGCTCTTTCATTGATTCCTGTTCACTGTCACCCTGACTATTACTGTATTAATTTTCAAATATTTTTACTGTATAGTTTTGGAGAAAATTAAAGGCAAATTCACCCCAAGCATCTAAGTGCATCCTTGCACTTTTACATCATGTCCCATGTTCAAACACTTATACAAAAATATTTCCTTTGTTTGCTCATTCATTCAATTGATTCCTGTTCACAGTGACCCTGACTATGACTGTATTCATTTTCAAATATTTTTACTGCATAGTTTTGGAGAAAATTAAAGGCAAATTCACCCCAAGCATCTAAGTGCATAAGCACGTTTGCATCACGTCCCATTTTAAACCCTCATAAAAATCTTTTCTTTATAGGTTTGCTTGTTCTTTCAGTTGATTCCTATTCACAGTCACCCTGACTATTACTGTATTAATTTTCATGTCATTTTACTTTACAGTTTCTGGGAAACGCAAACTCACTCCAAAAATGTTTTTATAGAGTGTATTGTTGCACTCATGTCCAATTTTCAAACATAAAGTTTCCGTTTTTAAAGGAATTATTGTGCAAACGTACCATGCTTATTACCATATGAAACTGACTCTTATTTGATATATAGGTGCATCTCAATAAATTAGAATGTCGTGGAAAAGTTCATTTATTTCAGTAATTCAACTCAAATTGTGAAACTCGTGTATTAAATAAATTCAATGCACACAGACTGAAGTAGTTTAAGTCTTTGGTTCTTTTAATTGTGATGATTTTGGCTCACATTTAACAAAAACCCACCAATTCACTATCTCAAGGGGACAAATAAAGTAAAGATTAGTTCATTATGTTCATCACCCATTTGAGCAGTCCTTATTTGTGTCCATGGTTACTAATTTCTAACCTTTAGTTAAATTTCTTATGTCTTTGCTTTTATAGCCCTGAGGTTGTTGTATTTGTTTATGGTGATTATGCCTGCAAAGCTATTATTTGTTTTGCTGTGTTTGTTTACCGTAATCATCAGTCAGCTTAGCTGCAATTTCTTGTTTCTCCTTACCTGTAACTGATCAATTACAATTGTATTGAGATTAATTTTAAAATTATCTATCTGAATTAAAATCCAGATACAACAAGACACTGATCACACAGGTAAGGTAAGACAGTTGACAACACAAAGAAAAAATCAGTAATATAGTATCAATGCCGTTTGAAAATGATGACACTTTTATTTTAATTTTACTTAACTTTATTTTATCGTATTTTATGTACTTTTATAAATATTATACATTTTATATAAATACATGCAATTTATATATATTATACATTTATTTATTTATTTTGCATTTCCTATTTCAGAAAACAACTTTGTGCATCTTAAGGAATAACAGCACTTTGGGCATGCTGTTGTACATCCCATCAGACTGCACAACAGTGCCTACTGTGGCTTCAACACCTGTGAACATTTATTGACTGTCTTCTGCACACGGATGCATACACCTAAAATCATCTTCTCATATTAGGCTTTTGTTTAATTGCATTTAAAAAAAAAATACATATTTGCATTTGTATCTGTGAAATGTCATAACAAAGGTTACATAATCCCTATCACAACTTATTTATGTATTTCAGTCTTAATAAAACTCTTGTTTAAATTCCATTAGGTTGTATTGCAGTCACAAACAAACACTACCTTTCTATTTTTTTTTATTCTATCTACTTGTTTTTCTTTGTGTGTGTATATGTGTGTGTGTGTATAATATATATATATATATACACCTTGCTACGTGTACTGCGTTAGGCTAACCGAGACTTGTCTTGTTGCTCTTTTGTTAGTTTTGACTGCTTTTATTGTCCTCATTTGTAAGTCGCTTTGGATAAAAGCGTCTGCTAAATGACTAAATAAATAAATAAATAAATAAATATAGATCGGGAGAAGAAGAAAAAAAACCC